AGAAAGATAATGTTCTATGATTCACTTGGAATTGTGGAGGATTGGGGCAGGCAGGGAAAATGGAGGCCATATGACTCAATCCTCTCTCAGGACTTTCCATAAAGATGAGCCTCAGCCTCCAGGTCAGGTTGCTCTGGGCCTACACAGTGCACCAGGTCTGTGCTGTGACCACCTTCCTGGAGTTACCAGATGCCTTTGTTTCTAGGAGTTCAAGAAACTGAACATGTGAATCCTTAGCCTGGAGAGAAGTGGCTAGGAGGGGCAGACTAAACTATGCAGAAGGGAAGCTGCATGTGAGTGAGGAAAGGTGCTTGGCATGGGGATTTGGGGAGCTCCCGGCATGCTGTGCTCTGAGGCTATCTCATCAGAAGGTGCTGGAGAAGAAGGAGCACCCACTGAAGAGTGGTGGGAGGGAAGTCCGGTCAGAGAGGCTCCAAGGCCTAAGGCAACTGCCAGGCCCGGTGCCACAGTGTGAGCTGTACTCAGTGCTCGGTGAAACTGGGTCAGGTTCGCAAAGCATTGCAGCTGAGCTGAGAGCCCAGGACTGCGGTCGGAAGGCAGGCCTGGAGAGCCGCTCTCAGCAGTCACTTGCTTTAGATAGAAATGGCCTGCCTCGGAGGAACGGGGTATATTTGGTGCTCCTTCTTCTTTAATGTTTTTTTTTCCTAAGAGTCAGGGTCTCAACTCTGTTGCCCAGGCTGGGGTGTATCAGTGCAATCATAGCCCATGGCAGCCTCTAACTCCGGGGCTCAAGTGATCCTCCTGCCTTACCCTCCCAAGTAGCTGGGATTATAAGTGCACACCACTATGCTCTGCTAATTTTTTTTGAGTTGGGGATGGTCTCATTATGTTGCCCAGGACAGTCTTGAACTCCTTACCTCAAGCTATCTTCCCACATGAGACTCCCAAAGTGTTGGGGTTACAGTCATGAGCCACATGCCTGGCCTATTTGGTGTTTTGGACAGGTCCACCTAGGACAGGAATTCACAGGAGTTGGACTCCTCTTTACTGAGTGCTAGCCCGAACTTTAGGAAGTCCTCCTGGGGACACAGGATGAGAGAGCCAGATTGTTCCCACAGAGACTTCCATCCAAAGAGAAAGTCAAACAACGAACTAGAATGTACACAGCCAACCAAGGGAGGATGGGCAGAGGGCTTCATTCAGGTGCCAGATCCTCCTCTTCCTCTACTCTTCCCTCTAGAAAGAACTCTGGCCTCAACGTCAGCATTATACATCTGGTTTACAGCTGGGCTGCCGTTCAATGGCCTCCCCACTAGTAGCGTTCTGCTCTGGCAAGCCCACCCTGTGTACTCAGCTCGAGGGACATCTGTTAAAAAGATAATCACTGCCAGGTGCAGTGGCTCACTTCTGTAATCCCAGCACTTTGGGAGGCTGAAGTGGGCGGATCAGGAGGTCAGGAGTTTGAGACCAGTCTGGCCAACACGGTGAAACCCCATCTCTACTAAAAATACAAAAATTAGCCAGGCGTGGTGGTGGGCACCTGTGGTCCCAGCTACTCGGGAGGCTGAGGCAGGAGAATTGAACCTGGGAGGTGGAGGCTGCAGTGAGCTGAGATTGTGTCACTGCACTCCAGCCTGGGTGACAGAGCAAGACTCCGTCTCAAAAAAAAGCCAATCACTACCACCAATGATGATAACTCTTAGATGAGTTGGGAGTAGTGGAGAAGGCACTGAGGATGATTTCCACGCCTGTCCTGATTTACTGGAGCAAGGCAAATAACATTTCCCAAATAAATGGACTTCTGCCTGAGAAAGTGAACCTCAAACTTACAGATCTTAGTGGAGAGCGCCATCTTCTGGCCTGGACCCTGCCCCCCTCCCAGCCTGTGTGCCCCAGGACCAGGCTCTCCTAGGATCCCGGTGAGTATCCCACATGTGTGACTGGGAAAGACAACCAGCCTTCTCCTCCTTCCATGACTGGCTGCAGGATCATAAAACTGCTTTCCCACTTTACAATCAATCAGGTTGGGGCAAGCAGAATGTCAAGGCTTCTGTCGCAGGTAGATGGGCTCTGTAAAGTCCCACTTAAAACAAAGTTGAGGTAGGTTCAAGGTCTGCACACAACTGGGGATGAGGGGAGTCTGATGCTGTGCTGTGTAATCATGCAAGGAACTGCTCCAGTGCAAGCTATGTCGCCTTTAGGGACATCTTCTCCCAGTAAGAATGTCAACCACACTGTCTGAAACTAATGGATGTCTCTGTGGTGTGTGTTTGCTCGTGCACATGTGCAAGTGTGTCTTAATTAACTGTCAGACAGCTGAAATAAGTCCTCATCTCATACTTCACGCTAGCGGGAGGTCTAGAAAAGGGTGGGGGGTTGGACTGCCAAAGCCCACCCATGATTAATGTGCTGAAGCCCACTTCTGTGATGACACGGGAGTAATTTGAAGAGAAAGGGTGTCATTGTGTCCCTTGGCCCTCCAATGTGATCAAGCTCTGTGGGAATGGATGGATGTCTCTGAAAAGGAGTAGTGGTTCTCACCCTCTGAGAAAGTAGTCTTTTAGGGAGGCGATGATGTCTTCAGGTTTGAACATCAGGTGTAAAAATTGGATGTGGAAAAGAAAGGACTGACACTTCATAAAAGTATGTTTTGTTTTGTTTGAGATGGAGTCTTGCTCTGTAGCCCAGACTGGAGTGCAGTGGTGCAATCTTGACTCACTGCAACCTCTGCCCCCTGGGTTCAAGTATTTTTCATCTATTTACAATCACCTTAAGTCCCTCAACCCTTCAGTAAAGTCTCATTTATGTTTTGTTTTGTCTTTTTTGAAATGGAGTCTTGTTCTGTTGCCCAGGCTAGAGTGCAGTGGCATGATCTCAGCTGACTGCAACTTCTGCCTCCCGAATTCAAGCGATTCTCCCACTTCAACCTCCTGAGTAGCTGGGATTACAGGTGCCCCCCCACCATGCCCGGCTAATTTTGTATTTTTAGTAGAGATAGTTTTCACCATGTTGGCCAGGCTGGTCTCAAACTCCTGATCTCAAATGATCCGCCTGCCTCAGCCTCCCAAAGTGCTGGGACTACAGGCGTGAGCCACCACACCTGGCCTAACGTCTCACTGTTAACACTCTCATGTGATACTCCTGTGGAAAATGTAAAAATGGAAGTTTGGCTGCTTTGTGTTCAAGGGTCAACTAACACTTGTCAACAGGCCAGCATCCTGCCAGTCCACTCAGGTCAGAGGTGCAGGAATTTCTGCTGTCCAGTTTACAGTAAGAGAAAGGAGGTTTATAGCATAGCTGTGAACAGAGGGCAGGGACCTGTAAGCCACTAGCGGCAAAACTGTACTCAAGATTCTTTGATCTATTCTATACCAAGCTAGGAACTTTGGAGCCAGAATCGTGGAGCATCTTAAAGCTCAAGTTTTGTTTTGTTTTGTTTTAAAGACAAAGTCTCGCTCTCGTTGCCCAGGCTGGAGTGCAGTGGCACGATCTTGCCTCACTGCAACCTCTGCCCCCAGCCTCTGCCCCTGTCTCAGCCTCCTGAGTAGCTGGGATTAGAGACGTGCACCATGATGCCTAGCTAATTTTTGTGTATTTTTAGTAGAGACAGGGTTTCGCCATGTTGCCCAGGCTGGTCTTGAACCCCCAAGCTCAGGTGATCCTACTGCCTCGGCCGCCAGAAGTGCTGGGATTACAGGTCTGAGTCACACCTGGCTAGCTCAAGGTTTTTAAAAAAACATCAGCTTGCACCCTCCAGCTTGCCAAAAGCCCCATCACTCCATATTCTTTCACTCCAAACTCCCTTAGTCATTCCTGTGGTGCCGCCAAAAGCATTTGGGTTTGCCACTCGATTTTATTTCAACTTCCTCATTTTACAGTCGAGAAAAACAGGAGGTAAAGAGAGAAAGGAACCTGCTTTAGGAAGCAGCTCTGGAGGCCAGGAGCAGTGGCTCACTCCTGTAATCAGAGCACTTTGGGAGGCTGAGGCAGGCGGACTACCAGGTCAGTAGATAGAGACTATTCTGACCAACGTGGTGAAACCCCGCCTCAACTTAAAAAAAAAAAAAAAAAAATTAGCTGGGCATGGTGGCGCGTGCCTGTAGTCCCAGCTACTCGGGAGGCTGAGGCAGGAGAATTGCTTGAACCCAGGAGGCGGAGGTTGCGGTGAGCCGAGATCATGCCATTGCACTCCAGCCTGGGTAACAACAGCGAAACTCCATCTAAAACAAAAATACAAAAATTAGCTGGGTGTGGTGGCGCACGCCTGCAGTCCCAGCTACTCGGGAGGCTGAGGCAGGAGAATCGCTTGAAACTGGGAGGCGGAGGTTGCAGTGAATCGAGATCGCGCCACCGCACTCCAGCTTGGCAACAGAGTGAAACTCTCTAAAAAAAAAAAAAAGCAGCTTGGGAAAAGTGAACACAATTTCCTGCTCTCTGTCTCTCTCCATTACTCTCCCCTCAAAAAATATACTTTCTTCTACGGCCAAATTCAACATTCATTACCAACCTGTGATTCCACTAGGACTTTATTTTATTTATTTATATATATATTTTTGAGACGGAGTTTCGCTCTTGTTACCCAGGCTGGAGTGCAATGGCGCGATCTCGGCTCACCGCAACCTCCGCCTCCTGGGTTCAGGCAATTCTCCTGCCTCAGCCTCCCGAGTAGCTGGGATTACAGGCACGCGCCACCGTGCCCAGCTAATTTTTGTATTTTTAGTAGAGACGGGGTTTCACCATGTTGACCAGGTGGTCTCGATCTCTTGACCTAGTGATCTACCCGCTTCGGCCTCCCAAAGTGCTGGGATTACAGGTTTGAGCCACCGCGCCCGGCTCCACTAGGACTTTAAAAGGAGGATTGTTTTCATTGGGACAACAATCTCCTGTCTGTTATACGTGTCCATATAGGTAGAAACGTACCTAAATTCAATCCCTAGTCTGGGCCCCAAACACGAACTACAGAGAGTTTAGAAACCAGAAAGATACAGTTCAGACCAGGAACCTCCCTTCCTAGTTCACGTTTCTACCCGAGCCCGCGGAGGCACAGACAGGAAGTGCCGCGCGGCAGCCCCGCGTAGGGAACGGCCTATCCCGCCGTCGCGCTGGCCAGAAGGCTAGGGTGCAACCCTTAGAAGCGTCCGTTCCTACTTCTTGCTGTCGCACGGTTGCTTTTGCAAACGCAGGAGTCTCCGAAGGATTCCACGGATTTGGGGCCGGTTGTGAGATGCCAGGCAGAGGCCGCTGCCCCGACTGCGGCTCTACGGAGCTCGTGGAAGACTCGCACTATTCGCAGAGCCAGCTGGTGTGCTCCGACTGCGGCTGCGTCGTCACAGAGGGGGTCCTTACCACTACCTTCAGCGACGAGGGCAATCTCCGAGGTACTGTGGCCCTGGGTACAGCCTGGGGCGGTGGAGGGATTAACGTCAGATTCCTTTTGTCTCCCCGCTCCCCCACCCCCCATACTGCTAACTGGAACGCGCACACTTAATATGGGAGAAAACGACCTATAGTGAGCGAGGGAACTGAAGGAGATGGGGACTGCCATTGATCTGTGTTTTCCTAGTACTTAGTATCTGGCATATATGGTGCGTATAATAAATGTTGAATAAGTGAAACAGAAACAAAGTTCCATTCATCTTGCCATGTCTGGTCATGGTGGAAGGATTGCCTGTTGCCTAGTTCTTTATGATTATAGCATGTATTATTACCCTGAAATAGCTTTAAGCACAAACTGGCACATCACTTTTTTTCTTTGCTTTCCAAGTTTCTGAGCAGTGCAGCCCTCAAAATCTGCAGCCATTGCCTGGGTGGAGTGGCTTACGCCTGTAATCCTAGCGCTTTAGGAGGTAGAGCAGAGAGGATTGTTTGAGCCGGGGAGTTCAAGACCAGCCTGGGCAGCATAATGAGACAAATGCCTTGAAAAAAAAATGAACAATTGGCCAGGTGTGGTGGCATACACCTGTAATACCAGCTATCCAGGAGTCTGAGGCAGGAGGATTTCTTGAGCCTGGCAGTTGAAGGCTGCCGTGAGCTATGATTGCACCACGGCACTCCAGCCTGGGCTATAGAGGAAAACTTCCTAACAAACAACAAACAAGTCTGCTACTAGGAAAAATTGTCTGTATGGAATGTACTGGAAGGATGACTTGAAATTTGGAAAACATGGAGCTCCTTTAGTGCAGTCCTAACCTTTCCCAGTCTCTGTGTATCTGGAATTGCTTGTAGACATAGAAAACTAGATGGGGCCATTAATTGTACAGCAGCAGCTGCTCAATGATTTGAAGTCTGTGTCCTGGTTTTGTGTGGTGGGAGGGCAGGGTTCTGTTGAATAAAGGCTAAGCACACTATTTGTTGTTTATTATCTTACAGAGGTAACATATTCCCGAAGCACAGGGGAAAACGAACAAGTTAGTCGCAGCCAGCAACGAGGTGAGAATTGACCTTTTACAACACAGTGGTTTTAAAGAAAACTATCCTAGGCCAGGCGCTGTGGCCCATGCCTATAATCCCAGCACTTTGAGAGGCCAAGGTGGTGGATTACCTGAGGTCAGTAGTTCAAGACCAGCCTGGCCAACATGGTGAAACCCTGTCTCTACTAAAAATACAAAAATTAGCCCGGCTTGCTGGTACCCACCTGTAGTCCCAGCTACTTGGGAGGCTGAGGCAGGAGAATTACTAGAACCTGGGAGCGGAGGTTGCAGTGAGCTGAGATCGTGCCCTGCACTCCAGCCTGGGTGATAGACCAAGACTCCATCTTCAGAAAAAAAAAAAATGAAAAGAAAACTGTCCTGGTGGTGGCCTAGCCCTGCTCTTTGCTTTTCCTGTTTTCAGCATTGCTGGTGTGAGGTAGAGTAGAAGCGAATGGCAGTTAGAAATTTCAAATGGGAATGGTGGCTCACACCTATAGTCTGAGCACTTTCGGAGATCAAGACTGGCAGATCGCTTGAGGTCAGGAGTTCAAGACCAGCATGGGTGTGGTGGTACGCACCCGTGATCCCAGCTACTCAGGAGGCTGAGGCAGGAGAATCACTTTAACCTGGGAGGAGGAGGTTTCAGTGAGCTAAGATTGCCCCACTGCACTCCAATCTGGGTGACTGAGCCATGCTCCATTTCAGAAAAATAAATAAAATAAGATAAAATGGGATGGTTCTGAGAAGGCAGCAATTCAGTATAAGGTTTGGGTTAGATCAGATGTATGTTTGAGGTAGCCTCTAAGAGCCTGGTTAAAATTTTGGCTTGGCCCTGAATCAAACTGGCCTCCAAAAACCAGTAGGTTGAAATGTGACTTCTTTACAGAAATGTTTCTGTGTTTTTAGAATGATCGTACCAAGTGTCACTCCTGTTTATGCAGAAAGGTACATAATTTGTGCATCTGGTATCTGAGGCAAGTTTAGCAGATCTAAGTAAGTCCTAGCAGAATGTTCTAGGAACTGTATGATAGTTCCTTTGACCCCTCTAACTCTTCCCGTGGGTTTTTCCTAGGTCTCCGCCGAGTGAGAGACCTTTGTCGAGTTCTGCAGTTGCCACCAACATTTGAGGACACCGCGGTTGCCTACTACCAACAGGCATACCGGCATGCTGGCATTCGAGCTGCCAGGCTGCAAAAGAAGGAGGTGTTGGTTGGGTGCTGTGTCTTAATCACCTGTCGACAGCATAACTGGCCCCTAACCATGGGAGCCATCTGCACGCTGTTGTATGCAGATTTGGATGTATTTTCTAGCACTTACATGCAGATAGTGAAGCTCCTGGGACTGGATGTGCCATCTCTGTGCTTGGCAGAACTGGTGAAGACCTATTGCAGCAGGTACCTTCCTGGTGGGAGACAGTGGGATGGGATGGGTCCTTAGACCTGAGTTCTTTGACCATTAGACATCTCTCTCTTTTTTTTTTTTTTTTTTTTTTTGAGATGGAATCTCACTTTTGTCACCCAGGCTGGAGTGCAGTGGCGTGATTTCAGCTCACTGCAACCTCTGCCTCCTGGGTTCAAGTTATTCTCCTGCCTCAGCCTCCCAAGTAGCTGGGATTACAGGTGCCCGCCACCACCCTGTATTTTTTTATTTAGTAGAGATGGGGTTTCACTATGTCGACCAGGCTGATCTTGAACAACCCTATGGGGGCGCCATTGTTTATAGGACTAGCCTTAGGGCCTGACTAGATTCTGCCCTGGTTCCACCTGCCAGCTCTCTCTACTTCCCTCAGTTCACCTGACCTCAGGTAATCTGCCTGCCTCAGCCTCACAAAGTGCTGGGATAACAGGCATTAGCCCCCGCTCCTGGCCTTGGCCATCTTTTTTTGACCAAAGCCCGTATAAAAGGATGTGGGAGAAAGATCTTTAGTTTATACTTGTACTAATAAGGTTAATATTGTTTTACCTGTTTAGAATGCTATAATTTTTTCTTTTTTTTAGTCCATGTCTTGCTGTGTCGCCCAGGCCTGGAGTGCAGTGGCATGATTTCGGCTCACTGCAACCTCTACCTCCTGGGTTCAAGTGATTTTCGTGCTTCAGCCTCCCACATAGCTGAGACTGCAGGTGCATGCCACCACACCTGGCTAATTTTTGTGTTTTTAGTAGAGATGGGGTTTGCCATGTTGCCCAGGCTGGTCTTGAACTTCTGGGCTTAAGCGATCCACCCATTTCAGCCTCCCAAATGCTTGGATTACAACCATAAGCCACTGTGCCCCGCCAAAGAATGCTTTAATTTTCAAACCTCTTTGCCCTCACAGCAACCCAGTGATGTGGGGAAAGTAGGTCTGAGCCTTGGCACAGGGCTGCTGAGTTGTGCCACTCATGTGCTGCGTGCATGGCAGTTCCTAGAGTTGTGTGCTGTGCAGGGCCTGTGTGGCTGAATGCCCAGCTCTGTCTCAGCAGGATCATCTGCACAGGAAGCCAAAAGGATATTAGTTAATGACAGAACTGGGCTTAGAAGCTAAGCCTTTTCTAGTTTTGTTTTTGTTTTTTTTTAAAGACAGGGTCTCGGGCTGGGCGTGGTGGCTCACGCCTATAATCCCAGCACTTTGGGAGGCCGAGGCGGGTGGATCACGAAGTCAAGAGATCGAGACCATCCTGGTCAACAAGGTGAAACCCCGTCTCTACTAAAAATACAAAAATTAGCTGGGCATGGTTGGTGCACGCCTGTAGTCCCAGCTACTCGGGAGGCTGAGGCAGGAGAATTGCTTGAACCCAGAAGGCGGAGGTTGTGGTGAGCCGAGATCATGCCATTGTACTCCAGTCTGGGTAACAAGAGCGAAACTCCGTCTCAAAAAAAAAAAAAGACAGGGTTTCACTCTTGTCACCCAGCCTGGAGTGCAGTGGTGCCATCCTAGCTCACTGCAGCCTGGAACTCTTGGGCTCAAGCGATTTGCCTGCCTCAGCCCCCCAACGTGCTGGTATTGCAGGTGTGAGCCACCACGCCCAGCAACCCTTTCCTTGTTTGAAGTAGCTGTGTTCATTTCCTTTTTCTGACAATAATGTTGAAAGCAGAGGCTGTTGGTATCAAATAGCCTTGTATTTGAAGCTTGGTTACTGCGTGACTAGATGAACTGTGGGCAAGTTTTTCAACTGTACATGCACATAAGATGGTGCATGTGCCTGTAGATTACATGAGAACATTGTAAAGCACTCAGAATAATGGCGACTGGGAGGCACTTAGTAAATGTTCACGCATTCATGCATTCCTCTGCCTTCCCCTAACAAGCAGAAGACACCCTCTTTTTTTCTCATCGCTTTTATAAACTTGCTGCCCAGTGAGCTTGAGTATTCCTGAGGACAGAATAGCTTCCCTGTCTTGAGTGGGCTGTCTTTCCTCACTGTGGGAGAGCAGCCCCCATGTCATTAAGATCCATCCCTCATTTTGGTTGTTTCAGCTTCAAACTGTTCCAAGCTTCGCCTTCTGTGCCAGCCAAATATGTGGAAGACAAAGAGAAGATGCTGTCTCGAACGCTGCAGTTGGTGGAGCTGGCGAGTGAGACGTGGCTGGTGACCGGGCGGCATCCCTTGCCCGTCATCACTGCTGCGACTTTCCTGGCTTGGCAGTCACTGCAGCCTGCATATCGGCTGTCATGCTCCCTTGCTCGATTTTGTAAATTGGCAAATGTGGACCTGCCCTACCCCGCATCCTCCCGCCTGCAGGAGCTGCTGGCTGTACTGCTGCGGATGGCTGAGCACCTGGCCTGGTTACGGGTTTTGAGACTTGACAAACGGTCTGTGGTGAAGCACATTGGTGACCTTCTCCAGCACCGCCACTCGCTGGTCCGCTCCGCCTTTCGGGATGGGGCAGCAGAAGTGGAGACCCTAGAGAAGGAGCCGCCAGGGCAGGGACAGGGGCAGGGAGAAGGGGAAGTGGGGAATAATTCCTTAGGTTTGCTCCAGGGGAAGCGACCAGCCAGTCCTGCCCTTCTCCTCCCACCCTGCATGTTGAAGCCCCCGAAGCGGACCTGCCCCCCACCCCAAGTCTCCACCGTCACTGGAGATGAGGACATTTCTGATAGTGAAATAGAACAGTATTTGCGTACCCCTCAGGAAGTTAGGGACTTTCAGAGAGCCCAGGCTGCTAGACAGGCTGCCATGAGTGTCGCTAACCCTCCCTGAGACACATCCCTTGGGGGCACTTCATCCCACTCTGATAGAAGCTTGGAAACCTGTCATAGCCAAGGATGGAAGTGTACCCGGTCCGTAGGTATTGCCTTTCTTATCTGAAGGAAACAAGAGGGGCTCTGCCATTAGTTGGACCTTGGGTCCTGGAATAAAGTCAGGAGTGCAGGGACAATTATAGGTAGGAGAGACTCCCATCCCTTGGTGCAGGAGAGCAACTTGCATATGTCCTTGTTCCATGAGATGGCTCTCCTCATAGATGGGAAAATACCAGGCTCTTTGCTGCGGGTTTGAATTGGACACACCACTGCTGCTCCTGCAGGCCCGAGGGGACTTCCCTCTGCTTGTGAAGCGGTTGATGTTCCCTGCAGTATCAACCCTTAGAGGAGCAGGAACTGGGGATTTCCTGGCCCTGTGTCCATTCACAGGAGGTGGGTTTGTGTGTATGGTGTCATGACAGCGCCTACCTCATAACAAGGACAGTGGGTGGACTAAGGCAGTAGCTCAAAGGGCTTTGCAAAATTTTAATATATTAAAACAAGAGGCATCTGCTAGAAAACATTCTATTGTATAAAACCCGAGCTCTTAAAAACATGTTTTCTTTGGCACTTTCATTCCCTCCCTCCCTTTTCCCCAGCGTATTGCAAAAAGCTCTCCAGTGCTAAGGCATTGGCAGGGTATGTAAACAGCAGCCAGCATATGTGGAAGAATAATACAAAGCTTTTTTTCTCCTAATATGTCTGTGCAGCAAGCATAAATAACAGGACCCATCCCAAGGAGTGTGTGTGGGTTTTTCCCCTCCTGTGTCCTCTGTCACCTTGGTGATCAGGTCAGGGTGATACAAGGACTGGGAGGAAATCTAGGCCAGATGTGGATTTCTTGCTCTCCCCAAGACCCAGGGTTCCCTCAGTTTCCATTTGATCATGTAGTAAGATGCTGGTGGGTGGTTTTAGGTTGGGGAAAAGATGGGTGCTGGTGTTTAAAAGTAGTAAAGGCATAGGCCCCTCCTGGTCTGCAGGGACCCCAGCCACTGCCTCTGGGGTAGGCTTGGGCTCCTGGGAGTTGGGAAGCTGGTTTGACATTTTGTAGGTTTCTCTGCTATGGAGCTGGAGATCAAATGATTGGGATAGTTCTTCCATCTGGCCTCATGGAGGCAAGGAAGTGCTCTAAGTCCCTTGGTGTAAGGCTGAGACTGGGGCCATGGATATTTTAACTGAGAAGTAAGCTTCTCCAAACACCACCTGCAGCTTTATGGGGGTGCCATTATTTACAGGACTAGCTTCAGGGCCTGAGTAGATTCTGCCCCAGTTCCACCTGCCAGCCTCCTCTACTCCGCTCAGTACCTGCGGGCACCTGGCAGTCAGCTGTTGAGGTGCAGGGCCTTGGCTTTGTCCCAGTGTGCCACCTCTGAGCCCTGCTGTCTGGTTTAAGTACCACCTCTGTGGGAATGGTGGCTTTGTTCCTAGTTGTGTGGGTTCCCACTCCGCTCACCCGGGACTGGTTGATCTCTAGAGCTGCTTTTCACAGGGCCCCATCCTCCCCTCTAGCATAGTTGATCTGAAAAGCAGCACCTTTGTGATTTCACTTCACCTGCTTCATGTGCTGGGCTGGCTCTCCTGCCAGCCAAACCCGGGAGGAAAAGGGGCCTAGGATCTAGGCAGGGGCTGGGCTGACTTCAGGAGAGGGCAGGGAAGAAAGAGCACAGTTCCCACACTCTCACCTCTGCTTCCCTGGTGAGGCAGCTGGCCCCAGTGAGGCTGCTGGGACTGGGGGGGGGGGTGGGAGTACTTGGGGAGGGCCCACCTGGGCTGTGCTGTGCCTTCATTCTTGTGGGTGACCCCACAGACGGAGGCTTTCCCCCTTCCTGGCAGGGCACCAACTGTCCAGACTGTCCCGGGCTGGACAGAAATGTGTTACGCATGTTTCTGGGATTGTCTGTCGCTACCCCAGAGGGGTGCCCTCTAGGCAAGCGGGGAACATCTGCCTATCGGATCCTCCGCCTCCAACCGGCTGACTACCGAGACGCCTTGGAGGACCCCGAGAAGCGGGGGAACGAGGCGCGTGGCCAGCCCGTCTACCGCGTCGCGCCCCCAACCCTAGACCGTTGTCTCGCTCTTCCAGAGTCCGGTCTTCATGCAGCCACCTGCGGACTCCGCGCCCGTCACGGTGACGTCATCGTACTTGCCCCCTTGGGGGCGCCGTTCAGGCTGGCTGCATTGAGCGGGTACGAGCGGCGCTTGCTTTCCTTCTCCGGCACGCCGCTGCCCTTGAGGCTGTCGCGGCTGGCGCTGCGGTGCTGGCCCAGCCGGCCTGCCTCGGGGAGCGGTGCGGCGCTGGTGTCACTGCCCTCGGACGGCGTGAGCATGGGCTCGCCCTCCAGCTGCAGGCCGGCGCCCGGACTGTTGCGGCTGCTGCCGGGGTAGCTGTCGGTGGGGCTGTTGTGCAGGCTGCCACTCTCGCTGGACAGCACCTCGGGCGCCCCCGCCGCGCCCCCGCGCAGGGCCTTGAGCCGGTTCTTTCCGCCGGCCTCCCCAGCACGGTGCCCCTTGGCTCGGCTCTTGTGCGCCCGACGCCCGTGGTGCATGTTGTTGTGGTGGCGGGGGGCGAGGCTCCCCCGGGGCCCATGGGCTCCAGCTCTCCTTCCCCGCGGGCCACCACCCCTGGCTCACACACCTGACTCTGGGCCAGCTGCAGGTTGGTGAGCTTGCAGGGGCCCAGAGCCAGCGCGTGGCCGCTGCTGCCGCTCGGGGAGGACTTGAGGGAGGGCGGCCCCTCCCCGAACACCGGGGAACCGTCCTCTGCGGTGGCGGGCAGGGCCCGGGGTGGGGCATGGGGGGCCGAGGGCGAGGCAGAGGGGCAGCAGGCGCGCCAGGATGCTCTCACGTCCCTCCGCCTGGCACAGTGGTGGGTGAAGACAAAGAGGCCCAGGGCAGAGGCTGCCACCCCGTACAGGCAGCTGCACACCACCCTGGGCAGCCAGCGCTGGGACACGGCCAGAGCCCCGCAGGCCCACATGGCCAGGTACAGGAAGTGCGTGGTCACCAGCGCCCCTAGCTGGACTCCTGGAGAATAGAGGCTGTCACCATCCTCCGGGGGCCCGGGCGTCCCCACCCGCGTGCTCCCAGTAGCCAGAAGGGAACCTGAGTCACTTGGGAGGGGGCCGCTGCCCCTGAGCCTGGTGGAGCCCCTCAGCTCCTCCCCTGCCTCCAAGGAGGCTCTGCTGTTGCCTGTCTTGGGGCTCTGTGCCAGAGGGCCCCGTAAGCGCAGCCCTGTACACAGGAAATAGATCCAGGTGATGAGCAGAATCAAAGCCACCGGGATGTAGAAGGCACCGAGGCTTGGACGCCACACCAGCCAGCAGCTGCAGGAGAGAAGCAGTAATGAGGAGAAGGGGCATGGCCAGGGTAGGGCCAGGGACGGGAGTGATTGGGGAAGACAGGATATGGTGAGTGCTGAGGCAAGGATAGGTTGGTCACCATGCATGGGCTTGGGTTGGGTTACTGCTGGGTGGACCTGGCAGGAGACCCTGCCAGTGGAGCAGAAGGCATTGGTGTTAGGTAGGTGGTCTTGGGGCAGGACGGAGTGGTGCTCACTAGGGGGTGTGGTCCCGGTAGTTGTGGATGTTGACGGCAGCTGTGATGCCACAGATGATGAGTGGAATCCCTCCAGCAATCAAATAGAACCTGGAGGGAATAAGGGATTGGGAGTCTGAGAGGTGGGGAAAGCGAAGGGAAGAACTGGGTGCTCAGAGCCCTTTGCTTGGTGTTTCTGTCCCATCCTCTTTCTCCTTTAGTCAGAATTTTTTGCCAGGGATGCAAGGTCCCTGCAGGGACTATTTGGACTTGGCCATGACTGTTCTAAGGGGCAGAGGCCAGAATTGCTCTCTCACCCTCAACAATGCAGAAGTCAGGGGTGCCACTCAGGTTCCCCAGTGCCATGACATTTGGAGTCACCTCCTTCCCTGGCCTTGTCATGCCCCAGAAACCTGCCAGACGCCCCCAGTGCACGGCCTACTGTGACCTACTGAGTCTAGGACCTAGCCTCTCTTGTCTTTGGAGAGTGATCTCCCAGAGACCTTGAACCCACCCTGGGAGGTTTCCTATACCTGCCTCGGATTCCCCTCCCCCATTGCAAACTGGAATTGAGAGTAGGTACCGGAGCATAGGACGGGAGTGGGCAGGGCAGGGTCCCCTTCTTGCGGAGGGGGTGCCTTCCAGGTGAGCTCCTTGTGGAGCACTCGTGCCTTCACGCCCATCCAGAGCAGCGTGGACAGGGAGGAGTAGTGCAGGGTGATGCCCACCTGTGGGGTTGAGGCAGGGAGGCTGGGGAACGGGAGGCTACGACTGGCTCCTCCCAGAGCCTCATACCTGCAGGTGTCCTCCCAGGCTTCCAGCCCCCAGCCCGCAGCTCTTTGACTTTACCCAGCCCACTCTCCATACACTCCCCTAGCTCCATCTCTGCTGCCACCCTGTGCCTCCATCTCAGCGTTCTCTCCCACCGGAGGGCTTCCCCATGACCTTGACGTGGCGATCCGGCTGATCCCCCACATTTCCACCACTGCAGGTCCCCACTCTCCACTTTGAAGCTCATCTCCCATTCTCTCTGATCTGGTTCTTACCACTCCCTTCTTCACTCTCCATGCCCCACCCCCACCCCTGCCTTCCAAGGCTGCCACAGAGGAAGCTATGGAGCCTTGGCCTGTGAGCCTTTTTTCTGCCAGCGCATCTTCCTACTGTATGTCTAGCTGCCAGCACTCATCTTCAGGCACCACCCCCGAGCCCCTGCTCCTGCTTACTGCCTGGCAGACCATCTGGTAGTTGGTGAGTGTGATGCCCCCTGCAAAGACGGCGGAGGTCATGGCCATGTGGAAGCACAGGTTCAGCAGCATGTGCCAGCTCTTCCGGGACACATAGATGGAGCTGCCCAGAAACAGTCTCAGATTAATGGAACCCCCAGCCCAAGGTCAGGCCCATGGGGTCTCAAGGCCACTGGGAGAGCCATGGGGGGCAGGCAGATATCTGCGTGTATGCATGGGTGGGAACGTGACAGATGCCACAGGGCAGGGAGTCCTTAACCTCTCAAAGTGATTTCAACCCCAGAACATTCAAATGGGTGAGAGAAAGTCATGTGAACCCATCTAGGAAAAATCTCTGCCAAGTCCTCAGTAAGCCCACCTGCCCTGGGAGTTTCCCACACCTGCCTCGGAGTTCCTCCCTCATTGCAAAGCTGAATTCCATGCCTGCCCACCATGCCCTCCCTCCTGCAGGAGCACCCACCTGTGGTTGAGGATGTAGGTGATGATGGTGGCGAAAAGGCAGAGCAGCAGCAGGGCCGTGCACGGGTATACCACGGGATGCAGCCCCGCCCCCATGCCCCCCACCTCCCTGGGGAAGGTGCTCAGTTCCTGGGAAAGGGCAGGAAGGAGGATGTGAGGAAGGAGGCTGTGAGGAATGAGGACACCTCGCCAGCCCCCCAGGCCAGCTTTCCTCTTCCCAGGCCCGTCAGCCTTGGTCCTGTGATTTGGTGCTTAGTGCAGGGCAGGGAGGTAAGCTTTGGGCTGTCCACTTAGGCAGGCAGCCCTACCGAGCCAGCTACTGCTGCCCCTTCCCTGCCTCCAGTCCCGCCTTGCTGGGGACTCTTCACACCCCCAGCCTGAAATACCAGATATGAGAGAGGGAGCAGGTGCTGCCCGTGACCAGCAGCAGGCCTGCGGGACTGGAGAGTGGCAGTACCATGAGCCACGAGGGAGGGGTGACCAGAAAGGAGAAGCGTTCCCAGATTGTCTTTTTCTACTTTAAAGAATCTGGTCTTGGCCAGGTACAGTGACTCACGCCTGTAATCCCAGCACTTTGGGAGGCCGAGGCAGCAGATCATTTGAGGTCAGGAGTTTGAGAGCAGCCTGGCCAACATGGTGAAACCCCATCTCTACTAAAAATACAAAAATTAGCTGGGTGTGGTGGCACATGCCTGTAATCCCAGCTACTTGGGAGGCTGACTCAGGAGAATCGCTTGGATCCAGGAGGCAGAGGTTGAATTGAGCCAAGATTGTGCCACTGCACTCCAGCCTGGGTAACAAAGCGAGACTCCATCTCCATCTCAAAAAATAAAAACAAAAACAAAAAAACAAAAACATCTGGTCTCAGGAGTGCAGGGTGTGAAAGTCAGGCTGGGAGTTCCAGATCCATCTATCTTGATATAGGAGTGGAGGCTGGACCTCCCTGTCTCCTGAAATATGGAGAGGTGTGGGAGAGGCCAGAGGGCCGTTTCCCACAACCCTCCAGTCATGGGGCCCAACAGGGCTGCTGTCCTTCTTGTATTTCTCCATGGTCCCAGGTGGTCAGAGTGCCCTCACCATTTTCCATGCAGACTGTGTCCCTGCCCCCCACCTCTCACCCTGCTGCATACCCACCATGAGCACAGCCACGTTGCCCAAGTGCTGGCAGTGCAGGGCGCTGACATTGGGCTGGCTGGAGCGGAGGTGGCAGCCCTCGGAAGTCCAGCCCCCAGACCCCCCGGGCCCCTCCTGGCTCCACCAAGCGGCCACAGGTTCGGCTCCCTCAGCCCAGTGCCGCAGCGAAACTGCCACTGGCTCCGTCAGGTTTCCCACACCACAGCCACCTACAGAGGGAGAGGGACGTCCACACAGACACACACAGGGCATCAGGGAGGCGGCTCAGCTGGGACTCAGCAGCAGCAGCAGTGACAGGGCATGCACTAGGCTCCTTCTGGGCAGGACATGGTGCTGGGTTTGGGGCATGCGGTGAGATGCCAAGGATGGCCTCAGTCTAACAGGGGACACTGAATGGGGATTTGCAAGGATGATGGTGGATAATGTGAGCCCCGGGAGGTGGTCTGCGCTGAGTGCTGGATGAGCAGTGATGCCGTGCTCCAAGGCAGGACTCAGGCTGGGGGACTCAGGGACAATAACACAGAAGTGCAGAGGGAGGGAGCAGAAGCCAGGTAAAGGGAGGAGGGAGGCAGGTGGGATAAAGGAGGTATTCCCAATGGGAGAGGGGCTCTTGGAGCAGGCCCTGGGCTCCACAGACCCCTCACCCACCCACCTCTCACCACACACTCCCACAGCCCACGTAGCTGCGGACATAGGGCTTTCGCCTTCCCAGGCCACCTTACTTGTCCTTCAGGTCTTGGTGGTTTTCAGGAAAGGCCTCCCTGACTTCCAGCTAGGTCGGGCTGCCCCTTGTCCTGTGCCCTCCAAAACACCTCTTGCAGCTGCTCACTTACGAGCTGCACTTAAACCACTGTACACTGCCTGTCCTCTCTGCTGAAGAGTGTGTTCCTCAAGGACACAGCTGCAACTGTCTCTACACAGGTGTGTCCCAGCCCAGGCACAGTCTGGCACAAACCAGGTACTCAGTGAGTGTCCCTGGCCAGAACCCAAGACCTGACAGCAAGAGTCTGTGCTAGGAACAGGAAGGAGCCCAGGGTGGGGTGGCAGCGCCTTCTGGCTATGCAAAGGGGATGCCGCCGTAGCTCTAGGACCCTAGAGAGCTTGTGGAGGGAGGCAGGCGTCCTGATGATGGAAGTGGCCCAAGACTTTGAAGGGGCTCTCTGAAGTGCACAGTGCAGTTTGCAGAAGGTGAATCTAGTGACAGCATGAGGGATGGACTGAGATGGAGATGTGGGGGCCAGAGATGGGCTGATGCCAGCGACAATGGAATCCCCGGCAGAAAGAAGGTAGGTGTGGGGGTCACTGGTCCCGTGGGGAGAGATGGAACTATAAGAGGAGGGCTGCAGGTGATCCGTCTGCTTCCCGGGTGCCAGGGCCCCAGCCAGGTGGTGAGTCAGACCCTCAGTGTCTCCCACGTCCCACGCTGCTCATGTTGTTTTTCCTCTGCCCTGGTCTCCACCCTTCTAGTGTCTCCGGAACTCCTGATCATCCCTCAGGGCCCATCCGTGCCAGTCCCGCCTCCACCACAACCGCTGCCTTTTCAGAATGCTTCTCCTGGGCTGCCTGGAATCTCCCCTATGGCTGCCCTGGGAGGTTACTTCACCCTCTACTGCTCAGTGAGATGGTGGCCTCTGTGGGGGCAGGGACCATGCCTAGATGTTCTTATTCTTTTTTTTTTTTTGAGACGAAATCTTGCTCTTGTTACCCAGGCTGGAATGCAATGGTGCAATCTTGGCTCACCGAAACCTCCACCTCCTAGGTTCAGGCAATTCTGCCTCAGCCTCCTGAGTAGCTGGGATTACAGGCACACGCCACCATGCCCAGCTAATTTTTTGTATTTTTAGTAGAGACGGGGTTTCACCATATTGACCAGGATGGTCTCGATCTCTTGACTTTGTGATCCACCCGCCTCGGCCTCCCAAAGTGCTGGGATTACAGGCGTGAGCCACTGCGTCCAGCCGATGTTATTCTTTCCAGCACCAATGATAGCGCTGTTTCTAGCAGGCCCCATTCAGCATTGCTTGCCTGCTTTGGGCCCCTGGTGTGTGTGTGTTAAAGGGGGTTGTGCTCATAGCCCTCTTGAAAGTGAACCATTCTGGGATCTAAAATGCAATGTCTGCCTGAGCCTTTTCTCCTCCAAACCCTTTCTCTATGGGGTATCTCTGCCCTCTGCCCTGCTGGGAAAAGGTGAGGGACCCAACATCCTCTGTCAGTTCCACTAGGGCACAGGGGGGCTGTGGGCCAGGGAAAGGTAGGATGAAAGGGTGCAGGGCAGAGACACAGGAGGCACCCCAGGTGGGGCAGGAAGTTCAGTCCCTTACTGGTTCCTGCAAAGATGACGGGGGTGGCCACGCCACGCCTCTTGCCAGGCCCAGCAGCTCCAGGACGGGAGGTATTGCCGTGGCTGCGGAAGAGGCGGCCATTTCGGAAGACGAGCAGTTGGAGGGTGCAGTCTGGGGGCACCGGGGGAGCCAGGGCAGCCGGAAGGGATGAGAACAGACTTGGGGGCAGCTGGATGGAGGCCAGGGCCACGCTGTTCTGGGGGGACATAGGAGTTCCTCAGAGACACCAGGACCCCCTGGAGCACTGATGTCTTACAGCCTCCTCCTCCCACCTGTCACTGCCCCCACCAGGCACCTGCTCCTGGGTGTCTCCCGTCTCCCAACACCTCCCTCTCCCCCAGCGCCCACCTTGATGTGGAAGGACGACAGAGAAATGTTGGGCCTCCCGGTGGTGCAGCGGAAGCGGAGCTGCTGGTCAGCTGGGGGCTCGGGCTCAGGTGGGGTGTTCTGGCCAGCGTTTCCTGGCTGTGTGCCCAGCATCCCTCCCTCCCTCCTCTGGAAGGCTGTGCAGGTCAGGCCCACGTAGCTGTGCGGTTTGATGAGGTAGGCCTCCAATGCCACATTCCTTGCATTCTGGGGACAGGAACCTTGTCATCCCACCATTTGAGATGATGGCCTTCTGCTTGAGACTGCACATACCCTCTCAACGGACCTGCTCAGGCTTCAATCCTCAGTCTTTCCAAAGCCACCTCTCTCTCTCTCTCTTTTTTTTTTAGAGAAACAGGTTCTTGCTGTGTCACCCAGGCTGGCGTACAGGGCACAATCATAGCTCACTGCAGCCTACAAATTCTGGGCTCAAGTGATCCTCCCACCTCAGCCTCCTGAGTAGCCAGGACTACAGACAAGTCACCATGCCCATCTAATTAAAAACATATTTTTTCATAGAGATGGGGTTTCACCATGTTGCCCAGGCTAGTCTCAAACTCCAGGCCTCAAGTGATCCTCCTACCTTGGCCTCCCGAATAGCTGGGACCACAGGCACATGCAAACACTCCTGGCTAATTTTTGTATTTTTTTGTAGAGACTGGGTCTCTCTTTGTGGCCCAGGCTGGTCTCCAACTCCTGGCCTCGGAAGATCCTCCTGCCTTGGCCTCCCAAAGGGCTGAGATTCCAGGTGGAGCCACGCCTGGCCTCTGGCTCACCTCTTAACGATGCCAGTTCTGTTGCCCGACTCAGCTGTAGAGCAGGCTCCATGTCTCGCCCCTGTGCATTGCCCTAAGGGCCTAGCACAATATCTTGCATGTAGAGGATGCTGTACCATGGTTCTTAGCAGACTGGAGCCCTCACTTCCTCTCAGAGAACTTCCATTACTCACTTGATCTCCAGTGCTGTCTGCCGTGCCATTAAGCCCTCCTCCCGTCCCCTCTATTCTGTTCACCTTTCCTCCTGCTTATTCCCGTCAGGCTGGCCCTTTGGCTCAGTTCCCCACCACAAAGTCTGGCTCACTTATCCAGGGTCCCTGGCCACCTCTCTTTAGTGCCGCCCCTGACAACTTGGAAGTGAAGCCCATGGCTCAGAGCTTTGTCCCGTCCGCTGCTCTTGCTAGCTGGGGCACAGCAGGTGCATGCCCGAGAGAGGGGGCCTCCCTCCTCTGCATGCTGGGGCCACCCCCCATGCTGACCCCCATTACCACTGAGATGTGCTGGGCATGGGGGCTGAGGGCAGCCCCCCCAATTCGCTCCAGGGCACCCACGATGCGGCTGCAGGCCTTGTCCTCGCGCTGGGCCAGCCACAGCAGGTGTTCGTCCACGAGCATCAGGTTGCTGGCCATATCCACCATTACCTCCACCAGCTGGGAGGACACGGGAATTGCTAAGGGCAGGGGCAGGGCTTGGGACCTGGGACTAGGATGAGAGAGGCTTGGGCAAATGCGGGATGTGGGCATTTTGCGATCTCCAGAAGTCCAGCTGTCTCACCTCTTTGATCTGGTCGACATAACCCAAAAATTTCTGGATCATCTGAGCCACATAGACCACATCCATCATGTCTGAAAAGCTGGCGGCCTCAGCTGTGTACACGCGCAGCTGGTGAGCCAGGGTCAGTGCATTAGAGGCGTTGATGGGCATCTGGGGATTGTGGGAAGAGAGAGGATCATCCTGCCTGTTCCTTCTGCCCCTGAACTGCCCCTGGGGACCCTCTGCTCTGTGCCAGTTCTCAGTGCCTGGGGACAGGTGTCCAGACCACCTGCTAGCTCTCATCAAGCTAGGAGGGTGGAGGAGGCTGAGACCATCACAGCCTAAGGCTGCCACTGCCAGCACCCCTGGGGTAAGGACAGTGGGACTCTGCCTTTAGTGTTCGTGAGTAAAGGGGCATGAGGTGGCCGGATGGGACAGAGGCCTGGCGTCTTTCCCCACTGTGGCCTCAGTGGGTCTGAATCCCCTGGCAGAGGGTGGCTTCCGGCTCTGCACAGGCAGGGACAGGAGGCATAGCCCAGTGGCCCAGAGGCTGGGCTCCCCTTGCCTGTTAGTTTGGCTTCTCCCTTCCCCATGCCCCCGAAGCAGAGCTGGTGGAGTGCCCCAGACCCTCCTCACCAGCACGAAGGTGTACAGCACCCTGGTGATGTCGTTGGTGTAGAGACAGTGGGAGTAGTCCCCTGGCTCCCAGTGGCCGGCGCGGTCACACCGGCGGGAGGCTCGGGTGCCTGGGGTGCCCCCACTCAGGGGCACTGAGGTGAAGGGATACTGCAGGCAGGACTGGTAGGCTGTGATGCCAGCCAGAGTTCTGGGCCACCTGGGGGCAAAGGCAGGAAGTTGCTGATGACCCAGACTTCTCAGGACAACAGTCCCTCACGACTTTAGTGTGAGGCCTGACTCCTCGGGGGCTTGGGGAAGGATTGAGGAGCGGGGTTCAGACCAGCCTTCCAGGGGTTCTCAAGTCCCACTCTCTTTGTTCTGACCAGGCTGTCACAGTTAATAGAGGGCTGGACTTTAGAATTCTGAGTTCAAGTTCAAGTTCTGCCACTTATTTGCTGTGGCTTCAGGCAAGGCATGTATCCTTTCTGGGCGTCAGTATTCTCAGCGGTACAAGGGGGAGAATAATAGCTTCCCTGCATAACAGAGAGAGTCACTGGGATCTTAGAAGGCCAACTCTTGGTGGGCGAGCTTTTGCAAACTATGACTGTAAGGAAGCAAATAAAAGCCTTTTTGTGGCCAGGCGCAGTGACTCATGCCTGTAATCCCAGCACCTTGGGAGGCTGAGGCAGGAGGATTGCTTAAACCCAGGAGTTTGAGACCAGCCCGGGCAACAAAGGGAGACTCTGTCTCTACAGAAAACAACACAATAAGCTGGGCATAGTGGGCTGTGCCTGTAGTCCCAGCTCCTCTGGAGGCAGAGGTGGGAGGATTGCTTGAGCCCAGGAATTCAAGACTGCAGTGTGCTATGATTGTGCCACTGCACCGGAGCCTGGATGAAAGAGTGAGATCCTGTCTAAAAAAATAAGTCTTGGCTGGGTGTGGTGGCTCAAGCCTGTAATCCCAGCACTTCAGGAGGCCAAGACAGGTGGATCACTTGAGGTCAGGAGTTCAAGACCAGCCTGGTCAACTTGGTGAAACCCTATCTCTACTGAAAATACAATAATTAGCTGGGCATGATGGTGGGTGCCTGTAATCCCAGCTACTGGGAAGGGTGAGGCAGCGAGATCACACCACTGCACTCCAGCCTGGGCAACAGAGCAAGACTCCTTCTCAAAAAAAAAATTCTTTTTGTGCAGCACATCTCATATGATAATTTGTGTTTTTGAGACTGAGTCTCACTCTTGTCACCCAGGCTGGAGTGCAGTGGCATGATCTCGGCTCACTGTAACCTCTGCCTCCCAAGTTCAAGCAATTCTCCTGCCTCAGCCTCCTGAGTAGCTGGGATTACGGGCGCCCACCACCACACCCGACTAGTTTTTAGTAGAGACAGGGTTTTGCCATGTTGGCCAGGCTGGTCTTGAACTCCTGACTTCAGGTGATCTGCCCACCTCAGCCTCCCAAACTGCTGGGATTACAGACATCAGCCACTGTGCCTGGCCTCAGATGGTAATTTTATACATAAAGTGTATTTGATAGCAAGGCTTCAGGCTGAATGATAAAAGGAAGTGTTTCCTCCAACTTTAGGACCCAATGGAGACAGTGGATGGGGAAGCCCTGGACACCTGTGATGTCAGGTGCAAGGGTGGGATTGGGGGCGGGGCAGCCCTCTACTGGGCTGAGCGGGCCAAACCTGAAGTCCCCGCGGTTGTTGGCAACGCGCTCGGCAGGGCAGTAGGAAGCAGAGGTCTCCAACACCACAATCTCCACCTTCTTGCTGGCGTTGCCCTGGGCCATGGACACGGAGCACTCCCACTCGCCTGAGGCCCACAGGCCAATGTGAGACAGCGTCAGCTCACTGCGGGTGGCAGGCGGGGCTGGCTGGTGAGTCACCCTCAGGCCCACCAGGTATGAACCACACCACCCTCCCTCGGCACTGTCCTAGGGCACTAGCTGCAGGTCCTGCTTTCTTTAATGAAACAAGGGATGCAGGTACGCACTTCTTTTATTCTGACTGGCCTTATGAAACTGTTATTTTGAGCTTCGATTTCCCCGTCCTTATCATGGAGCTGATAATATCTCTCTTGCAGGTCTACTGCAGAGATGAAATCTGGTGACATAGGTGGGAGCCACTCTATACAGTGTAAGGGCACTAAAGAGATGTCAAGTATCATCATTTTGTTCTATCAGATGTTTATTTGTAGCCTCTACCCAGACCACTGATAACTTAGTACAAGCTTTCCATAAATACACATGCATGTTTTCCCAGGAACACATCTGGATACAGCTCTTTTGAGGAGTGGGTGACAGGTAGGGTGGGCCCCCATCCCCATGCCAAGGCCTGAGGAGGGGCAGTGGGGCTCATACCTGGTGATGAAGGTGCAGTCGTGGATGAGGCTCTCGGCCAGGAGGATGCCCGCCTGCTCATCACCCTCCACAGGGGCGTGGTTGTGGTACCAGTGGATGTGGGTGTCATTACCCAGGTAGCTGGCAGAGCACTGGAAGGGCAGCCGGTCCCCCTGGAACACCACTTGGCGCAGGGATGGGATGAGGTGGTGTGTATGCAGCTCCAGAGCCCCCTCTGTGGGACGAGAAGCCAGGAGTGAGGCCTGAGTGCACATGTGTGTGAGGCTGCATGTGTGAGCGAGAGTCCAGCAGGATGGGGCGGGGCAGGGAGTGGCCCTCTGCCTATAGCCTGCTCCAGCTGGAAAGGAAAAGGGGTCAAGGGAATGTCTCCAGGATAAGGGTAAAGGGGAGGGACAGGTGGTTTTTGAACAAAGAAAAGTGCTCCTTTCTCAGCACTCATGTTACCCCAAGAGGTGGGGCCAGATGAAAACATAAACAAGCACCCCCCAAGGGGCTTAGATAGAGGCCGGGCGTGGTGGCTCATGCCTGTAATCCCAGCATTTTGGGAGGCTGAGGTGGGTGGATCACGAGGGCAGGAGTTCAAGACCAGCGTGGCCAAGATAGTGAAACCTTGTCTCTACTAAAACTACAAAAGTTAGCTGGAAGCGGTGGCAGGCACTTGTAATCCCAGCTACTCGGGAGTCTGAGGCAGGAGAATCGCTTGAACCTGGGAGGCAGAGATTGTAGTGAGCCGATATCATACCACTACACTCCAGCCTGGGCCATAGAGCGAGACTCTGTCTCAAAAAAAAAAAAAAAAAAAAAGAAGAAAAAAAAAGAAAAGATAAGCTGATAGAGGGCTGACCGGGGACAACAAGGGAAAGGGGATGCCCGGGAGACCACGCCCAGCATACAGCCTTAGGTGGAGTGGGGAGAAATACAGCGGCCCTGCCCAACATGGAGGGTCACTGGGGTATTAAATGTGATTCTCGTCGTGGGAGAGCTGCTGCAAACCAGTAATGAGGGCGAGCACAGAAATGCCTTTCTGTGCTGGGCACATCTCGGATGGCGATTTATACATAAAGATGAGGTCTCCCTAAATGCAAGAGCAGGACTCAGTGTCGTGGTCTTTTGCAAATTGCAATAGAAAGGTAAAACTCTGTGGGTCTGAGGGAGAAGGCTCGTGTCTGGGCCATGGGTTGGTGGGAGGCAGGGTCCCTGGTAGATGTGCAGTGGGGAGGCCTTGCTCACCACAGCAGAGTTGGGCTTCCTGGAGGCTGCCCAGAGCCTGGGCGTGCAGGGCGCTGGGGTAGGCACAGAGGGTGTGCTCCGACAGCTGCAGGGAGCGGTTTCGGGCCCAGGGCAGCAGCCAGCGCAGGTGGCAGTCGCAGGTCAGAAACTCGGTGCCCAAGTCCCTGCAGGGTGGGCAGTGGGGTCACGCAGCAGAGCAGAGGGAGCATGGGCTCATGGGTGGCCTGGGGCCCCAGGGAGGGACAAAGCTGGAGTGGGTGGGAGGGCAAACTCAGGTCTGGGTGTGTCATCTCTGCCCTGGGCCATTTGCGGTAAGTTGGGGGGCATGCATTTCAGGCACTGTCTGCTGTGCCCACTCGTGAGGCCAGCCACAGTAGTCACGATGCTTATACATCCCTCCTAGGCAGAGGAAGGGACAGGGGTCTGGGTCCTTGTGCTAGGAAGAGATACTCACACAACCTTAAGGGCTGGCAGCTCATCAAAGACCCCAGGTTGCAGACTGGAGAAGATGTTTCCAGATATGTTTCTGCAGGGGACAGGGAACAACTGAGGTGGGATCTTAGGGTCTCCCTGGGCTGGCAGAGGGGAGCAGGTGGGACATGGAAGGCTTCGGGGCCACCGCTTGCTTCCCATGCACTTCTTCCCTCTCCTCTCCTCCCTGCTTCTTGCCCCATCACTCACAGTCGGAGAAGCCTGGGGAGGCCCTGGAAGGTCTCCGAGGAGAGACAGCCAATCCGATTGTTGGAGAGATCTCTAGAGAGACACAGGCAAGCTCAGCGAGCTGGCCATGTGGTAGCATGAGGGTCCATTTGTGAGGGACACATGGGTGGGACCAGGGTTTGTATTGGGGAGAAAATGAAAAAGGAGATGGGGTTGAGGCCAGGGCCACAGCTGGATTGGAAATGCGAGCTCCTTTGACCCCATCCATGGCGCCAAGTGGGAAGGAGGGGTAGATGGGGGTGGGCAAGAGGAAGGGGTGGGTTTGGGGTAGGAGGGGTGATTTTCTCCCTCCGAAGGGAAGGGCATGCCACTCACAAGCGCTTCAGCTCCCCCAGGCCCAGGAAGGCGCCGGGCTGCACTGTACTGATGACATTGTTCCTCAAGTCCCTGCAGAGGCAAATGCACAGGCCTTCACACCTCTCCCTGCTGGGGCTGCCCTGCTCCCCAGGCGGGATCCTCACTGTCACCTCGGTGTTGTTGCTGGGTTTCTCAGGGACTTCACTTCCTGCTAAACCTCTGCTCTCCTCAGCACTGGGTATGAGGTGGGATTAAAGAACCACCCTCCTCTGCCGGGATGTGGTGGCTCAGGCCTGTAATCCCAGCACTTTGGGAGGCCGAGGCGGGTGGATTATGAGGTCAAGAGATCGAGACCATCCTGGACAAAAATGGTGAAACCCCGTCTCTACTAAAAATATAAAATAATTTAGCTGGGCATGTGGTGGGTGCCTGTAGTCCCAGCTTCTTGAGAGGCTGAGGCAGGAGATTGCTGGAACCTGGGATGCAGAGGTTGCGGTAAGCCAAGATCGCACCACTGCACTCCAGCCTGGGTGACAGAGCAAGACTCCATCTCAAAAACAAAACCAAACCAAACCAAGTCCTGGGACAGACCTCCTCTGCCTTCTCCCTGGCTACCATCAGGGGGCACTGGTCAGAACGGAGAGAAGACGAAGAAGCCAAGAGTTGGAATTGGGAGTCAGGAGGCCTCCTTTCCCACCCCGCCCCACCTCCAAGCTGCCCTGAAGGTCGCCAGGGCTGCCCTGGGAAGCATTTGAAAATAGGTGTCATGGTCTTTTGTAAATTGCTATACAAAGGTAGAAGCTTCTTGAGCCTAGCCATTGTGGGCAGGGGAGGGGGTGCATGGCAGGGGTGGTTTTTTTGTTTTGCTTTTGAGGCAGGGTCTCTCTGTTACCTAGGCTGGAGTGCAGTGGTATGATCATGGCTCATTGTAACCTCAAATTCCTGGGCCCAAGCCATCCTTCAACCTCAGCTTCCCAAGCAACTGGCACCACAGGTGTGTGCCACACACCCAGCTAATTAAAAAAACATTTTTTTTTTTCTGGTAGAGACAGGGTCCCACTATATTGCCCAGGCTGGTCTTGAACTCCTGGGCTCAAGTGATCCTCCCGCCTCGGCCTCCCAAAGTGCTGGGGTTACAGGTGTGAGCCACCATGCCCGGCCAAGGGAGGTATTTTTGTGGCTGTTTTATCCCTGTGCCCCTCTCTGACTGACAGGCGAGGAGACAGGTCAGTTGGCTGGCTGATGCCCAGCTGAACTCTGCCTGGCTCCTTTCCAGGACAGGGGTGTAAGTCCTGCTGTCTAGCCTCCTCCTTCAGACGAGGAAGCCAGTGAGGTGAGAGCTTGTTCAAGGTCCTCAGTCCTGTCTTCTCCATGGAGTCTCTGCAGGAGCCCGCAGTGCAGAGACAGGACAGAAGGCGGCTGTGACCCCCACAGGGATCCCAGGGGCCAGGCCTGGCCTGGAGGAGTGAGCCACAGGTGAGTCCTCACGGCAGCTTTCAGCCCTGAGTCTGTGGCTCAAATTCAACTTTGGCCAGGGCTGTGCCCACTCCCTCACCTGCTCCCAGGGCTGCAGGGACAATGAGGAAGGGACAGTGCCTGCCCACAGGGGACCTGCTGGATACCTGCCTGCTCCAACCCCACAGCTGCCAGGTTCTTGGGGCAGGCAGGACCACAGAAGACCGAGGTGGTGTCAGCTCATTAGCCTTCTCCCTTGCCCTGTCCTTTGTGCCCAGCACAGCCAGGATACAGGTGCCTAGAAGGCAGGGTGGTGAGGCCAGTTGCCCACCTGCTCAAAGGTCACCTAGCTCTTTCCTAAGCTAAATGGGTCAGGCTTCAGGTCCACAAAGCTCACAGGGCTCATGGCCCAACTGGTCTTCTGGTCCTGGGGCCTGAGATGGAGGCAGAGGCCTCTTGGCTCCCACCCAGTGGCAGGAGATTGTGAGGCAGCAGGCAAGGGTGGGGGCCCTGGAACAGCCCACATGTCTGAAGGGGCTGTGGCGGGAAGATAGGAGACACACAGAGATGTCTGGAGTCCACCTGTTTTCCCAGGCCCTGCCACACCTCAGCCCAGATGGAGGAGGGGTCAGGGATGGGGGGCTGTGGGGCTCTTGGCCCTGCCTACCACAGCCGCATTGACTTCTCTGGAGTACCGGGCAGGAGGGGGTTAACCAAGCGGGCTGACCGCTGGGAGGAGAGGAAATGGGTGTTCAGGACATGGAGGTCCTGTCCCACCAGGGGGCCTGTTTGTGCACAGTCCTGGTTGGGGACAGAAACACCCTGCACAGCCCTTCCCACGGCCAGGGGAGCCCTTGCCCTCAGCTCCTTCTCATAGGAGGGACTTGAAGGACCCAGCCGGCCTCTATGACCCCGAGTCCCTGGAGAAGGAAGGGAAGGCCACCGAAGGGGCCAGTTCCCTAGAGAAGGGACCACTTTCACGCTGGGGTGTGCTGGGAGGTGCCCCCCGGCTGGGCGCATGCACAGACTGTGCCAGGACACTGACTCTAGGTCCCTGGCCCAGGGAGCAGGGTGCAGGATAAGTACCCTGGCTGCACAGGGGTGCCCCTCCAGCCGGCCCCCACCGTTCTGCTGCCAGACCCCATCCTCACTGCCCGCCCCTCCGGGGCTGTCCCAGCATGTGCCCCCTGGCCCCTGTTGGGGTCTGGCCATTCTCAGGGCTCAGCCTCCCACCCCCACGTCAGGGACGGGCAGAGGGAAACACATTCCTCATTGTGTCACTTCCCTTCATGGGCTGCCAAGGGGCTTAGGCGCAGCCCCCCTTCCCTCCCGGCTCACTTGTGTTTATTCTCATTTCCTCCCCGGCCCCCCTCAAAAGCCCCCACCCGCCTGCCCCACTGATGCTCTGCAGATGGGAGCAGGCGGCACCCAGGCCCAGCCCCTCTTCCTGCCCTCGGTTTCCTGCAACTCAGCCCTGCCGGGGCCTTGGAGAGGGCGCCTCCACCTCCAGAAGGGTGGGCATGCCTTTTCCCTCCCCTCAAGCTAGCCTGGGGAGGAGCCTCAGGGTGACCAAGGCAGCCCCCTTGGTCCCTGTGGGAGCTGGCCTGTCTCGGCTCCTTGGCTGAGCTCTGGGAGCCTGAAGGACCCATGAGAAGCCGATGCTGCCGGTCCCTCCAGGGAAGAAGCTGTGTCCTCCCTCAGGGCGAGGGAAATGCTACCACAGGACTTGGACATGGTGGAGACCTGCCAGGCTCCTATAGCTTGGTTGTTCTGAGCCCTTCTGGCTTAGCGCATCCTTTTGAAGATCTCATGAAGACCATGCATTTCTGCCTGAGAAAAACTCACGGGAGCCATCATTGTGCATACAATTTCCAGAGGGGTGCAGAGCCCACGTTAAGGAGCCCAGGCTGGGCGAATTGGCTCATGCCTGTAATCCCAGCACTTTGGGAGGCCGAGGTGGACCAATCACCTGAGGTCAAGAGTTGAAGACCAGCCTGGCCAACATGGTAAAACCCTGTATCTAATAAAAATACAAAGAAAAGAAATGAGCCAGGCATGGTGGCACATGCCTGTAATTCCAGCTACTCAGAAGGCTGAGGCAGGAGAATCGCCTGAACCCAGGTGGTGGAGGTTGCAGTGAGCTGAGAACGTGCCACTGCACTCCAGCCTGGACGACAGAGTATGGATGACAGAGTAAGACTGTCTCAAAAAAAAAAAAAAAAAAAAAGCCCTGTGCTGGATGGTCTGATCTGATCCCTTCATTTCTCAGGTGACACTAGAGTAGTGCATAGAAGCATGATGGGTGTTTCAGTCGTGAGGAAGCTCCCACTCCCTGTGCTTCCACAGAGCCCTGTCCTTGGAACCTGGGAAAGACACAGCGTGTTAATGGAGCTTCCCCTCCCTACTACCCACTGGCCCTTGAGTCCAGGCCACTCCCTCCCTGTAGCTCTGTCAAAATGCAGAATGAGGATTCCATTAAGGCAGACATGGAGGAAGGATTCCTGGGGGTAAATCATGCCCCATGCCCTTCTTGGAAAAACAGAGGCTTTGGAAGCTGAGTGTGTGACTTTGTGAGCAGAAGCAATGAAAGAAAAGATGGAGGAGGGAGCAACGGATGAATAGAAGTTCAGAAAAAGCAAAACAGGGTGAAATAGGAAACAAAGCAAAGATTGTTAAGTCAGACTTAATAACGACTTAAACATTTATACCTTTGGTCTGGCACGGTGGCTCATGCCTGTAATCCCAGCACTTTGGGAGGCTGAGGCAGGTGGATGACCTGAAGTCAGGAGTTTGAGATCAGCCTGGTCAAGATGGCAAAACCCTGTCTCCAATAAAAATACAAAAAGTAGCTGGGTGTGGTGGCAGGCACCTGTAATCCCAGCTACTGGGATTACAGTATCTGGAGGCTGAGGCAGGAGAATCGCTTGAACCTGGGAGGCAGCAGTTGCAGTGAGCTGAGATCACGCTGTTGCACTCCAGCCCGGGCAATAATTGCAAAACTCCCATATATTAACAAAAAAATTGCGCCTTAAAGGATGCCATCAAGAAAGTGAAAGAGAACTACAGAGCAAGAGAAAATATTTGCAAATCAGATCTGATAAGGCGTGTCTATCTAGAGTACAGACAGAACTCTTACAACTCTTTAGCAAAAAGGCAAATAACCCAGGTGGAAAAAATGGGCAAAGGATCTGAATAGACATTTCATCGGAGAAGACACGCAAATGGCCAATAAGCCATTTGCTCAGCATCACTAGCAGTAAGGGAAATGCAAATCAAAGCCACTTTACACCTACTAAGATGAATATAATAGAAAAGAGAGTAACTGTTGATGGTAATGTGGAGACACTGGAATGCTTACACATTATTGATGGGAAAGTAAAATGGTGCAGGCACTTTGGAAAACAGTTTCACAGTTAGGGTTACCACATGACTCAGAAATTCTACTCCTGGGTATATATCCAAGAGAAATGCATATACGTCCACACCAGAACCCACAGCTGAATGTTCACAGCAGCATTGTGCATAGTAGCCAAAAAGCAGAAACTGGCCTTGTGGTAGCTCAAGCCTGTAATCCCAACACTTTGGGAGGCTGAGGCAGGAGGATCGCTTCGAGACCAGCCTGAGCAACACAGTGA